ACACACACACACACACACACACACACACACACACACACACACCCCATAACCAAATAACTAACATGCAAAATATTTAAGCTACAGCTTTAAGATCATTTGTTCACAGCCTAGCTGAGCTGGGATATTTATAGTGAGTATAAAAGACCTCTAAGGCTAAAGTCTTACTTTTTCTATTCTTCCCAGGGTTTATAAAGTGAATCCTTAAAAGGTTATCAAGGAAACTGGAATATCTTAAGAAATAAAAACACAAGTTTTAGTTCTGGTTCTTACCTGGTAAGTAAATACCCCATGATTAGATGTGTTAATAAATAAAGTATTTTCTACATTTCCTACTACTCTTGCAAGAAAAACTACATCAAATGATGTGTTTCCTCCTGGAAGAATTTTCTGAAAAAGAAAAACAATAAAGTTAAAATTGGTAAGCAAAAAAATTTAGATACTAGCCAAAATTAGATAGCTAAAATTCTCTAAAACAAAGAAATCTTGGAATCGTTTCCATGAACTTGCTTTTTTCCTTTAAATGTTTGAGCTTTAAGCTAGCCAATATTATACAATGGAAAATAACAAAAAGATGTCTTCATATTACATGTCTGTAACTACTTTTGTCCTTTACCAGCCTAAAGCCCTGTACAAGAGGCAGTTCCTTGAACTGTTCATTCAAAGGTCACTAGACTGGGATGAAGCACCTAATTACATGAAGTTCCACGATCACACAGGGCCTGAACTGAAGCTGAGCTTTGGGTACAGATTTACTGCTGTACTACTAAGCAGTAGGTTGTATTATAAACAATATGCCCACGTCTCAATCACTCCACCTCTGCTATTTGTCCTTCTGAAGTGCAAAATGCCCTTGCAACTTAAAGGAGGAAAGAAGGAACTCTCACTCCTGCTATTTCCTGCACACTGAAAGTGTCATTATAGTTAGTAAAAGAAAATTTTATTACAACAAAATAATAAAGGTTATTCCATGAAGTTCAGGACTGGGCTATAGTTTTGCCTGTAACAAAACCTTAAAGAGCATTTGGTATGTAAATCCATCAAACTCTCTCATTCTGCTTCTACTGATAGAACTCTAAAATGCAACCTAAATTGTAGCTCAAAATAAATAGCACTGGATTCTGGCTTAATCATATAATGAAGAAAGCTGGAAAGAACATTTCTCTTGCATTATTAGCAACAAAACCCAGACAATTTGAAAACATCCTAACTTCCTGAACCCATCACCCAGACTGATAACCAACTCAGTCAAAATGTAAGGATTGTGAGCATCTCCATATAGAGATGGTACGTGAATGCTGGTTCCCTGCAGCAGAGAACAGGAAGATATAAGGCCACCATACAAGAGGCCAAAAGAATCCATCTCAACTTTTTCACATATTGCTAAAGGCTGAGCATGGACTCAAGCAGAGTACAGAGCTCCTGGAAACTATAAAAATTAGGCAGAATTCACATCTGATTTTTAAATTCAAGAATAGACTTAGATATGATAAATCCCCAAACAGTCTGGAATTAAGCAACACAATTCTAAGTAATCCACTGACCACTTTAGTTACAAAATAACATAAATATTCTGAACTAATTAGAAATAAAAATACAAGAGATTAAAATGTATGGGCAGCAGTTAAAACAACAGTTGGAAGAAAACTTGTAACATCACACATTTATCTTGAACATAAAGATCTCAGATCAACCATTTGTTTCTGCTTTAAGAAACTAGAAAGAGTAAATTAAATCTAAAGTAAGTAGAAGGGAGAATTAAAAACAGGAATAAAATCTGATGAACTAGAAAGCAGAAAATAGTGACCCCCAAATCAATAAAATCAAAGCTGATGCTTCAGAGGATCCATAAACCTGATTTAAAAAAATCAACACAGAATGGCTATGGAGAAAATGGGAGCGGAGCCATAAGGAACATGAAATAGCATTGTACAGCTGTACATGGAAAGGTTAAAGGAACATTATAGGGTCTTCTGGGTAAGATGGTGGACCAGAATCTGCCTGTCTATAACGTGGTGAAGTTGAAGTGTCTAGTTAACAAAAAATAGACAAAGACAGAGAGACAGACAGAGAGAGAGAGAGAGAGAGAGAGAGAGAGAGAGAGAGAG